AACAGCAGCTGGCAGACAAGTGCCACCGTAGCCGCCAGCAGCGCATACACACTCACAGCCGCTGACGCTGCTCGTCCTCGCAGCGAAGCACACAGCCTCCACGGTGCACGCACCACAGTCCAGTGCCGTCACGGGTGCTCCAATATTGAGACCTTCTCGGTAATCCGTCACAGGAGAGCCCATTACCTCGTTGCACATGCCGTAGATGATCGGGCGCGAGTCGGATGGTGGTAACCAGTTGCTTGTCATATGCGTAAAGGACGAGAACGAGCCATACGTGAAGTTGTTCTCAAGTATCGACCACACACTCCGATCGCGGAACGCCACGCCGTTCTCCTTGTCCACGTACACAACGTAGGCGGTGCGAAACTCGTTGTTGCGGTGCACCAGCCAGCTGCCGTCAGTTACGGTCAGCGTTTCTGCAATGAGCATGGCGAAGCCAAGACGGAAATTACTGGACACAACCTGCAGCACGCTGCCGCCATCCACCGCAACATCCTTGAACACACACGCGCCTTCGTACATGTTAATGGTCGGCGCACTCCACGAGCTGTTCTGTATGGAGAACACGGAGCCGCCGCTGACACGCAGGTCCGACGCAAAAGCATACATCACGTGCGTCCGCGACACGACAGCGCAGTTGTCCATGTAGAAGACGCTGGACACGTTCACGCCGAGGCCGCGCTCCACGAGGATCGCAGCGCACGACTCCCCGCCACACACCAGCGTCGACCGCGTCATGACAAACCGCGTCGACAGCAGCCGGACGCCGTCCAGGACAAGCGCGGGGCCGTACCGAAATCCCTCGTGTCCACGGGTCGTCGGCACGTACTGCGACCCGCCAACCGTCGCGCGCAGCGTTGAGTTCGCCAGCAGCACACTCGAGTGCAGCGGCATCGCGCCATGCAGCACGATCGTGCCCTCCAGCGACGTCACATTCGTCATGTTGACGAGGGCGTGCGGCATCAGGTGCGCCGTGCTCTCGCTGAGGCCACCAATCCGCAGCTGCGCGCCGCCCGCAAGCACGCAGTGGCGCAGCGTCACGTTCAGCGCGTCAGCGAACACGTCCATCAAGCGCAGGTCCACCGCCACAATGATCGGCCCGCTGAACACCACCGAGTCGAAGCACGCCGTCGCACGCCCGCCGCCAACCGTCACCGACTCCGTCAGCGTCACGCCACTCACGCAGCCCTGCGCACCGCCACCAGCCCTCGCAGGCGGCACGTCGAACGGCAGGCATGCCTCGCCCACACCGCCGGCACGGCAGCTGCACACGCAGTCGGAGAAAGACGCCGTCAGTCCATCGAAGCACGCCAGCGCAGCCGCACAGCCGTCGCACGGCACCACGCTCACGGAGGGCAGGCCGGCCAAGCGGTAGTCGCCGCTGCTCTGCAGCACCCGGCCGCCGGCACGGTTGCACTGCACCGACACGACGCCGCTCGTGATCGCCAGCCCGGAGACAAGCGTCACGCCGGCGGCAACGCAGCGCGCAATCGACACGGCGCCGCCGCTCAGCGTCACCCCCGACAGCGACGCCACAGATGACGCCTTGCCCACCGCCCACACGTCGTGCAGCTCCAGCCACCCACCGAAACTGACCGTCCCACCGTCGCAGCGCACCAGCGACGACGCAACAGACCCCTCAACGCCCACGAAGCGCAGAACCGAATCAATCACCGCGAGGCGCTCGCCAAGCACAAAGCCACCGCTGCTCACGACCGACACATTCGTCACGGAGAACACCGAGTGGCTCCGCAGACTGAGACGCGACGAGGTCGCCACATGCATCGCGGACGCGGTCGGACCGCCCGACGCCTCCAGCAACACGCCGTCAAGCACCACCGCGCTCGACAGCAGGTCCACGTCGCCGCCAACGTACACCGCCGACCCGCCCGCCTGCAACGACCTCAGCACAGTGTTGCTCACACGCAGCTGCGTCTGCAACAGCGACGTCGCGTGCAGCACAAGCGGCGACGCCACCGCGTCCGTCAGCCCGCTCAGCTGGGAGTAGCGCATCGGCCCCGACGTAACAATCGTCGAGTCACGGACCGTCACGTTCGTGTGTGCCGGCAGGTTGTGCACAAACACAAGCGAGCAGTAGCTGCCGGACAGCCCGCTCACGCTCACCTCCAGGCTCCGGTCACTCGCCGGCTCGCCGCTGTGGCCCCGCACGTAGATCTGCGCACCGCCGTCGCACACGCAGTTCCTCAAGTCGATGCGCAGTGTGCCGGGAAGCATCGCCGCAACTTCGAACACAACAGCCACGCCGTTCGTGACGTACACGCCGTCCATCAGCACCGTGTCGACGGCGTGGCCAACCGTGATGGCTCTGTCCACCGTGCCGCCCCGCAGCCGCAACACCACCGCATGCACCGCGGGCATCCACGCCGCCGCCGCCGCAACCAGCACCAACGCCACAAGCAGCGCCACACGCACAGCCGCAATGGCCCTGCACCGCACACAGTGCCGGCTGCGCGGACACGCACCCACCGCACACCACATCCACCGATCCAATCAGGCACCAACAGGGATTTCGTGTTATTTCGCGCTCGACCCCTCGACCGTAACTCCTACCCAGCAAATCCTTTTCTACAGATGGCAAATCCAGAAACACAATTCCGATAGATCGTTATCCCAATACTACCAATTCTACTGCTGCAAGTAATCCCTAAAACCTTGAAACGATAGTTGTGCTGTCCAATCCAAATTATCTCTAACTGCACGCTCAAAAAAAAAAAAAGGGTCAGCAACAACAGCAATAAACACTGGCACGCAGAGGCATCCGGCCGCAGTCAGTCCGCACCAAAGCACAACCACCGACACAAAAAAGCACAGACGCCATCATACCAGTGAAATCATCGCGCTCCCACCGCCACGCAGCCCCACACAAATACCCGGCAGAGTGGCGGGATTCCAGCAAAAAGACACATGATCATTGGCACCGCTCTTCCAACCAAATGGTTCTACCACAGTGCAGTCCCGATGCCGTGGACGACACAAAAGGGCCTAGACAGACCCGCGTGGCGGTGTTGCGACCGGCAGCCATCGAGCGCGTCCGAGCACGAGGTGGTGACACGGAAGAGGAGTGGAGGATTTGCCGTTCGGCTGCAGTCAAGACGTCGTTCCTCGCTCACGTGGGTCGGCACTGCACAGCGAGTAGCGGCATCATAAGCGCACACGAAGTGCACAAGAAGGAAGAAAGAATAAGCACGGTGGCGGCACCCAGACACGGGGGACAAGGGTCCATGTCGATTGTACGGTCTGTTGGCTCATAGACGTCCGATTTGCAATCACGCCGCTGCCCTGCAGTTCGTCAGTCTGCAGTGGACTGAAAGGACGAAGGGAAGGGAGAGAGAGAATGTGCAGCCCTCATCGATCTCGGTTGGGTGTGACAACGGTGAGGTCATCTCATCAGATCACCTGTAGCAAAGAAGTTCGATGTAATCACTGGGCACGGACATCCAAAAGCCGACGCTAAAAAAACAAAGGTTTTGGCTTCTTTGAGGCGTTTCCCACGCAAAGGTGAGCAGTCACCACCAGGCGCATTCGTACCCCATCAAAAGGCGGTAAACTTCACCGTCTCCATGGCCTGTCCCACGCGACAAACAGCATTGAAGGTCCGACGCGTTCTTTGGGGCCATGTTATTCCGTCCGCAGCACGTGGCGGTGTTGCAACCGGCAGTCATCGAGCGCGTCCGAGCACGAGGTGGTGACACGGAAGAGGAGTGGAGGATTTGCCGTTCGGCTGCAGTCAAGACGTCGTTCCTCGCTCACGCAAATCATCGCCGACGTGTCGCATTACGCAACGAGATATGTGGCGAAAAGGCTCCCTGCGCCACCCACAGCATGAAAGCCAGTGCCGCACACACAACGCCCACTAAAAAATAGCGCAGCAGCGGCCGCTCTCCGGCAAGCAGCACGGCGATAAACATCAAGCAGGCATGCACACATACACATGCATGCCGCAAGGCCCTTGGATTGACTGCGTGATCCAGCAGCGACCGCAAAAAAATCCAAAATCGTACTCGTTAGCAAAGTCACCCACGTCGCGCCGCAACAAAAAGCCATGCGCACAGCACACACACACACACGGCCGCAACGAGAGAGACGGGGCGCATCCAAATAAATGCCGCAGTCCTTCACTTCTCTCCGCCCCGACGGAATAGCATCACGCCTCACAGCGGGTTGTGGTGGGTGGCGTCCCACACTCAAGAGTAAGGCACGGCGCACTCCATCCGCTCAATTCCGAGTGTGCTCAGCAGGCCGGGGCAGGACGCCCAGTCACCCTCGTGCCATCGATGCCTCTAGCAGAAAAGAAAAACTGATGAGGGCATTTCAACGGCACAGCCAGCAGAAGGACAGTCAACGGGAAACGAAGACACCCATTGGAAGTAGGCACGGCACAGAAGAACACGAGCCGCAGTGATTTGCCAAAAGAAAAAAAGGTGAGAAACAAAAGGGTGAGAGCCTGGCGGGATTTCACAAACGTAAAAAAAAAATTGGTGAATATTATTGGGCAGAACTTTTATTACGTGTGCCATGCAGCACAAGACGACCGTGTGTTTGTGTATGCATATTCCCTGCACCAGAAGAAAAAAAAAATGGAGCAAAAAAAAGGATCGCACTCCTCCACCAGCCCACACAAAATCCCTTATATTCCATGCGGCATCCGGCCTGCCCCTCCACTCCTCGTTTTGTGCAGTCCGTGGGACGCACAGCAGTGAGGCCGGCACCGCGTGTGGCCAAAAAAAGGGAAACAAAAGTCGGAAACACGTCACTCATAACGGATTGTAGCAAACGGCCATTGAAAATAAGAAAAAACACAGGGGTGCTGATTATTCCAATACAGCACCAGCCGCAAAAAGAAAAATAAAACAAAAAAAGCAACAACAATAAAAAAATAAAAAGAAAAAAAAAATGGGCCCTTAACAAAATTCAGTGAGTATTGCTGGGAAGCTGCACATTTGTTGCTCCACGGGAAGTCGCAATTCCACCCTCCCTCACACCTCAGCAGAGAGCCCGCAGTGCCCCACAGCCCCGGAAGCAGCAGCAATAATAGCACACGAGAGACTCACACCCATGCACGTTGCTCTCAGCAAATAGAGCCATGGACACCAACTCGGTGATATTCTCCAAATCAAAAAAGTCATTGCCCAAGGGCGGCGCTGCGCTGGACTCCGATGGGATCTTGGACTCCGCAGGCGCTGTGCTCGGATGAGTCGGTGCGGTGCCAACGCCGTCCAGCACACTATCGTTGCGTTGAACAGTTGCTGAGTCTGTGCGGGGGTCAGGGATTTCTGTGGCGCCATCCGCGGGCGTCGTGTCGGTGCTGCTGAGTGAATCGGGGCCGCTGTTCGTGCCCACGGCAGTGTGAGCATGC